TCCCCCTCCCCTCCTCCTGCACTTCCCCATCCCCTCCCCCTCCTCTTCCGTTTCCCTTTCCCCCTCCCCTCCACTCCCCTTTCCGCGTCGCCATCCCACACTGGAGCCGTTCTTGAGTTATCAAAACTTGAGCCCCTGAACTTCCACCTACAACGCGCCTCTTTCCTACGGGGACACCTGGACGGTGATTCATCGAACGACCGCGCGGAAACGGCTGGACGTACCCATGGGGGGTCTCCTAGGCGTAAACCAGGCTCGTGACCACGGTGCTCTTGTGTATGGTTTTGCCTACTCTATGGCGGAAGGAGAATTTAATTATTATTTCATTGGGAGGCGTATTTGACCGGAAGCGGGGCTTCCACCCTTCCTTGTCTCCATAGTCCTGCTCTTCGGTCCTCCATCGTCCTCCAGCAGGAACTCTTACTCCTGTTTGGGGAGGCGTATCCAATCATAAATGTGGCTCTTCTGCATCCCGTACCCCCATGCTCCTGCTCACCTTGGTCTTTATCGTCCTGCTTCCCGGTCTGCTGCGAGGGCTTCTCGTTGCCTTCCAGCGGAACCCCCCCCCCCCCTATCGAATAAAATGGTGGTTGCGGTATTGGGGTCATCTCTGAAGCGAGGTCAGCTGACCAGGAACGCGGCCCGTAACCACAGTGTCCGTGTGTATGGTGTTGCCTACTCTACGACGGAAGGAAAATGTTACTTTTCGTTCTTGAGGAGGCGTTTCCGACTGGGAACGGGGCATTTCTCCTCCCCAGTCTCCACGGTCCTGCTACCACGGGAGCCTCCCGTCGTCGTCTAGGGGAAATATTGTTCGGGCTTGGGGCGGCGTATCCGACCGGAAACGTGGCTTTCCTCCTTCCCGGTCCCCCACGGTCCTGCTCCCCATACTCCACGATCCTGGTCCTGCTCCCCGGTATCCGCGGTCCTGCTCCCCGGTATCCGCGGTCCTGCTCCTCGGCCCCACGATCCTGCTCCCCGGTCCCTCCGATCCGGCTCCCCGGTCCCTCCGATCCTACACCCCGTGCCCCATGGTCCTGTTCCATGGTATCCCGGGTCCAGCTCCCCCGTGGTCTCTACGGTCTTACTCCTTGGCCCCATGGTCCTCATCACCCTGGTCTCTACGGTCTTGCTCCACTGGTTCCTCCAGTCCTACTTCCCGTTCCCGCGGTCCTAGACCTGCTCCTCCGGTCCCCCACGGTCCTGCTTCCCGGTCCTCCAGGTCCTGATCCTGCTCCTCGTTCCCACAGTCCTGGTCCTGTTCTTCGGTCCCTCCGATCCGACTCCCCGTACCCCATGGTCTTCTTCCATGGTATCCCGCGGTCCTGCTCCCCATGGTCTCTACGGTTCTCCTCCTTGGCCCCCCATGGTCCTCCTCACCCTGGTCTCTACAGTCCTGCTCCCCGTTCCCGCGGTCCTGGTCCTGCTCCCCGTTCCCACAGTCCTGTTCCCTGGTATCCCGCGGTCCTGCTTCTCGGTCTCCACGGTCCTAGTCCTGCTTCTCGGTCTCCACGGTCCTAGTCCTGCTCCCCTTGGTCCGCACGGTCGTGCTGCTCCGAGGCCCTCTCGTCGCCGACCAGCGGGAACCCCGGTCAAAAAGATGATGGTTGCGGTATGTATCGAATTGGGGTCATCTCTGAAACGAGGTCAGCTGACGAGTCCATTACTTGTCACGCATCGCACCGGGCCATCTTTGTTTACCCCCCTCTCTCTCCCAGACCCCTGCCAGGGGGGAAACAATGGTAAAATGAATAAATCATCGTTAGAGACGACATACAATTTATTCTATAGAAAGTACAGAGAGAATACGTTACAAAGCTTTGAGGAAGCATAGAGGAGCGATGTATTCTTAAGAATAACCTTAAAATTAGACAGAACGAAGAATTTTACATCCCACAGGATCCATTGGATCTGTAAGAAACACTCAAACAAAATAGTGGAATATGAGTTCAAAAGTAAAACATTTGTAGTCTCCAAAACAGTTTATTGTAATTCTCTTGCTTTATTAGATATGTTCAAAAGTTTTGTCACGTTCTAGACTGCACAACTCGGATGGCCATACATACATCCGATTTCAGGGTAGGTAATTTCTTGTACAGCCTCCTCCACGTTGAAAATTCCTGCAATTTCATTGCAGTATTCGGACAGGGTTTGAATTTCCACCACCTTGGGCTTGAACGGAACAACAATTTCTTTGATTCGGTGGTCCTCAACGATCTATGTTGTGAATCTCCTCCCGATTTGGACGAATATACAGGGTTATTCAAAAGTTACGCACCACTGGCCATAGCTTAAGTTCTAATTATGATATCGATTTGCGGTTTGTGGCGCCCTTCCTCATATCGAGGGAGAAACTTTTTGAGGTACTTCCCACTTCTTCACCCCCCCAGGGGGAGGGGGGGCGGGGGGCAACTCAAAAATTTCAAATGGCAACCCCCATCATGTGATACATCGTTAGAAAGAGCATGAAAAAAGAAAATTATTGGCGCAAACCCGAAGTCGATCTGACCCCCCTATCAAAAGTTAGGGGGGTCCAAAGGTTATTTAGGGGGTCCGTACCTTCATTTTTTAGAGTAGCTTCGGCGGCTCTTAGACATACCGTTTCTCCTTTCAAAGAGTCCTTGAATACTCCAGGTCTGATACCGAAGTCTTCATATTGCCCCCGGGCCACCACAGCCCCCCCC